TTTAGATTTATCTCAACACTCCAAAGATGAGTTGAGTAACAAACTTGAAGGCCCTTCAAATACCTCCACTTTTAGGAGGGAGTCAGTGAATGCTGTTCTCCAGAACCTGACAGACAGTGATATGTTGAGATACACCACAATGTAAAGCAAACAGTGCCCCTCAAAACCAGGATTGACCTTCACAGACAACGTGGAAGCCAAAAAAGACTTTTACAGCCTTAGTCTTGTTAGTCTCACTAGTTTCTTTAGTCTCATTAAAAATTTGTGATCTAATACCCACTATTAGAGTTAGGGACTTTAAACAGAATGGCTTGTAAAAGGGATAGTCTTATGCCCTAGACTCAGGAAGCAACCTCAATCATGCTCGGGTGTGCAAATCCAACTCATTTGTTTACACATGCATTGGTTTGGGAAAATGAACTCAGATTTTTTGTCACTACCAGTGAATGCTCTTGTCAGTACACAAAACTAAATTTGTCAGAAATCCCATATGTCATCAAGACTCACAAAGAGACTATATTACAGTGGCATCTTTCACATCACCCGTGGGAAGAATCGATTCCGTCCCAGCACACAGTGCGTCATCCAGCATACACCTACATTTCACAGGGCTCATGAACACCCACAGGAACTAACTTTAAACCAACTGTTTGAGTGTAACAGCCAAGGCAGCAGAAAGCTTTGTGGGGGTTAACACCAAGTATATTTTTTCCTGCCCTAGGCAGCAGGTAGGCTTCCCAGCCAGAGCTCACCGTCACCATGGTGATGTTTCCAGCCCTCCCCAAACCAGCTGGTTTAAAGCTAATTTGGAAAAGCCTGAGTTAGCTGCAGACATTTTAGTGATTGCAGCATAGACATACTCGTAGCAATGAAGGACTTTAAGAAAGATTTCAAAACAGACAGGTAATCTTTATTTTAGATGTTTGCTGACAGCACTCGCACTGGTGGAAGGAGAGGTGCAGGGAGGTAGAGGGCTCGGTGCCTTTCTCGAGTAAGGCAAAATGCAAGGGAGTGCTGCAAGCAGCCCAGATTGCTTGTGATGGATTTGATACAATGGTGTAGACAAAACCACAACGATGAGAATTGTATTTTCTTAAAAGTTCACTTTTTTTTCTGTATATTTCACTATTTACTTAAAGTGTAGAGCTTCATATGAAAAGGATTGGTTTCTGCATCTTTTGGGCACCACAGCTGAGCTTAATTTTCCTTTGTAAAATTAATTCTTTATAGTTTTATAAAAAGAAGGTAACTCATTATTTATATACAAAACAAATTGTTAGACAGAATGAGATTAAACTGTAGACACAAACAAAACTATTATTCAGTGTCTCTGTATCTGAATTTCTTTGCACATTATCTTCTCTAATCCCAGAATTAGTACACCAAAACATCAAGTAACAGTGTCCTATCATTCCCTAGTCTGCTACACATCTCATTTGTACTCATTGCAGCACTACAATATCTCAATAACCTGAAAAATCACTTGACACTGCATATATTCAGGTTGCACTCCCTTGGAAATAAATAATTTAATGCCACCTGTTCTATAAATATCCCCATCACAAGCCACCCAGTAACCATAATGATAAGCTGCTTTAATTGAAGAAGAGACCAATGGTCTGTATTATAACGTGTCCTAATAGATTCCCTGAACAGCTATAACAGACTGCCTGAGTAAGGTATTGTCTCTCTTCAGAGTAAAGTATTTTTAAATAAAGATTACTTCTAAGTGCATTTCCTTTAAAATGATTATACAGCCAGATCAATCCCTGTGGCCATGCCCATTGGCACTACCCCAGAAGGCAGTGTTTCTGCTTTCTCTGTAATGGGTAATAGTGTGCTGAAGACACTCTCCCTTTACCCTGTTACCAAGTCCAAATTAATTTGAAGACTCTGAAGAATGAAAGCTGCTTGGCAGTGTTTCCAAGCGGTCAATCTTCTGTATGATGCACTTACAAAAATAAACTCCTTTCCCCACTCAGAAGACAGACTGCTCACACACCATCTCAGACAGAATTAACTGGAAAAAGGAGGAGGTTACCCACTAAAGAGACACTCCTACAACTGGGTGTCAAACATGAGGTGTGAATTAGGAAAAAGGAGGAGGTTACCCACTAAAGACACACTCCTACAACTGGGTGCCAAACATGAGGTGTGAATTACAGGAAATTAACACATAGCAGCTGATATACTTTTCAAATCACATCCTTAGTTATTGTCCACCTTAACTCTGTGGATGCAGTTGAGAAATTAATTAATCCCCATGGAAAACACTGATGCAGTGTTTGAATGTATTTTAAAATCCTGAAAAGTTGCAGAAAGATATCCAAAGGGTGATAACACTATGAAAGAAAGGAATTAATTATTTGGATACTGCTCCTCAATGCCAAGAAAATACTGAGGTTTATGGTAAGGGTAGAATAAAACCTTGTAACTGTCCTACCAGAAAACAGCAGAACTTACAGTAAATGTCAGCTGAAACACAGATGGTCTCTCCCTCAAAAACAGACTTTGCAGTCATGCGGTTTGTTCAGACATCATGACTAGTTAATCTAGTTACTAATGTGTACTTCATGAGAGCCTCACCTTTGCTACTACTTGAATGTCTTAACTTCTTAATTTTCAATTCACACTGCACGGCAAGTTTTTACAGCTGTACATTGATTTTGTGTCCATTTATTTTTAATTTTGTAGCAATTTTTTTCCTGTCATATTAGAATGATTAAGTAAGATTCTATATTGCCTATACAGTTTTATATTTGCACCTCATTCTGGAAATCAGTCAACAGGCAGAATTTCACAACTAGAGGGTGCTGGAGGACCATAATGTGAGATGGAATGCAAAACTCTCGACATTTAGTGGAAAGAAGAAAAATAAAATAAATCAATTATTACTGCTCAGTAGGACAAGCTAATATATTCCAAGGAAATACACATACTGCAATATTATCTAGTGTAAGTAAAAAGAAAATTAATACTTTATGGATGATACTGGTTCATTTTAGTTACAAATTTGCTGTTAAACTTTGCTTCTGGCCTTAGTTTTTCTGCTGTAATGAACAAAAAGCCTTTATCTGAACAATAGGCAATGCATTCCTTTTGCTTCCCTTTGTGTAAGTTGGAAAGCAATTACAGTGTATTATTGATTAAATGTTTTATGATAAAACACAAAAGCCGTCAAGTAAGCAGGAGAGCAAGAAGGAACAAAGATTAATTTAACAATAAAATCTATAATTGAGATTTTACAGATAGAATGTGGACATTAATTACAGATAAATCATTTAATAAGAGTTCTAACAAGAAAATTATCTTCCAAAATTCATATAATTTCCAATACAGGGTAATTATTTTCTTGCCTTCCTGTACTGTAAGAAAAAATACAAGTATGAGAATAAAGAATGTCTATAAATATAGCACTCTGTATGTATAAAAGTTCCCTTCCTTCCTCTCTTTCATTTATCCTTATTGCTTCTTAGCGTCTCTGACAATTCTGCGATTACCTTCAACTCATGGAAATAATTGAAACTTTGAACCAGACCTTAAAGATATCATTTCTCTCTGCCCTGGTTCAACACAGCTCAGTAATATCTGGGACTTTCCTTCCATTTCTTTGGATCAGAAAGAAATCCTAAGGACAAGTGGTTCCCTGAAAACCCCACAAGAAAGTGTCCAGGAAGCTGGTGGAAAAAGCATGTGACCATAGTTTGTAGTGCAGATCACTTCAACCCCAACATGAAATGTTGCAACCAGCCTGTTCATCACCAAGAGGCAGTGGTTAAAATCCCTGGACACACACAGGTCTGCCAGATGTCCAGTGAAGCCAGGGTGACATGCCATCACTCTTCTCACAGTCACGTTTTTGACCTTTCGGTTGTGCAGACTTGCTGTGCATGGACAACATTCTCACAGTGGGCAACACCCAAGTGAACCCAAAGTCCACTTGTGGCCTGCACTGACCCAACACATCCCGGGTGTACCAGAAATATAGCACAAGTGGGATTGTGTGTGTTTCCATACTGTCAAAGTTGCATGTATTTAAATCAGTCCCTTCCTAGCCTATGAGGAGCCAATAATCCATATTTCCTTTTATGAATTGCCAAGTTATCTTACTAGCTGTGGTGCCCCAGCTTTACAAGCAGAGATATATTTCTCTAACTCTCAAGGGCCGAGGCCAAGCCCCTGAGCATTCCCAGGGAGCACACACTACTCAGATGCCTACGTACATGACAGCTTTCTTTTGTCTGTGTTTCATCTCATGACTTGCCCTTACAAAGGGATGTTCCCTGGCACCCACGGGAGACCACAGTTCCTGCCCTATGTACCCCAAGGAGATCATGTTTAGGTAGTCTCCATGTGATAGGGTTTCCCCTGGAAAATGTAAAGCAGTCTCCTATCAGAACTGTTTCATGCATAGGACCTTGTTCTCCAAACGTCACAGCCAAATCAAGGAGTTGGTGAGGGCAGCCATTAATTAACACATAGGCACACCAGGGCTCATGATATACTTAAGAGTCTCAGAGCCTTAGGCCTTTCACTCCTACCAGTGGCTAGGTGTTAGCTGGCATGCAAACAAAAAAAGTGTAACTAGTGGTGAAAATGGGATTTCATCTTGACAAGTGGTTTGTTTAAAATGAAAGCTTTCAAGGGGATAAACAAAACAAATCAAGTAAGATGTGTCCAACATAACAACAAAAATTGTGACTTACATACTGCAGGCTTGCCAGATGCTATAGAAGCTGAGCCAGAGGACAAAGTAATGTAAAAATTTATAACATAACCTGATACTGAACTGCATCTTGTAATGCCTCTCCAAATTTCTAATACCTTTAGTCTAGAAAGTGACCTGTTGGTTTTTGACATATTGAACTTAGTTTGTGCCTAAGGAAGCAGCAGTCAGAATTTGGCCCAATGCTTGCCAGCATATTCTCACACACTTAAGTGTGCCTGCTTCATGGACACAATTGTTGGGGTTTTTTCCTAAATGAGCTGATTTTACAAAATTAGTAGTTCTCTAATCTTTATTTTTCCACATAGACAAGATCCGCTTATTTGATGCTGCCTTCACTTACAAAGTCTTAATATGAATTACACCTTAGCTTTTTCTTCAACAGTGCCATCTAAAATTATACAAGAGCAAGATGTTTGGTGCTGGGTTTTTTTTCCCCTCTGCAAGTCAGCAGAAAAGCTGTTAAATACTACATATACTAGAATACTGATTTTAATAATACTCAACGTGCACATCAGTTTCATTGTCAGAAACACTTTAAATTTTTGCATGTTACTAATAACTGAAGAGCGTTATTCAGCTTTATACTGTAGTATGCATTGTCCTTCATATATATTCCTAAAGCAGGATGTATGCTGTACACTTATATACAACGTTGGTCGGAGCACAGACATTGCAGTGTCATGCTTTCATTCAAATTTCAGATGCCATATGTTCAGTACAATCGCACGGCATCAGGATGCAACATATTGCTTTGCAAATGCAAGTAATTTCACACAGTGGCCTTCATGACTAGGAAGGGATAATGAAATGGGCTATATTTTACACATATGAAAAAATAAATACAAGATTTATCATAAATATATGGACCAGTATATGACATTGAAGAACAAGAAGCAAAAAGGGAACAGTGCTCTTGCATAAAGATCAATTCTCTTTGCTGCTGATGGAATGACAGGCTTGGGAGGAGGAGGCTTCTTGTTGTTCTTGGCTTGAGATTTCCCGAGCCCATTGTTGACTTCAATGGGCTTCCCATAGCAGTCATAATTCGATAACTCAAAATCCCTTGGCAAGCTTCCAACGATGCTGAAATCATTGGATCTCAGATCAGATTTCGAAGTGCAAACTTTTTTGCATCTGGTCTCACCAACCTACGAAATAAAGAGTGAGGGGAATCATGATCTACTCACCATATCTCATTAACAAACTTAATGCAGCTGCTAGAGAACACTGCAAACAAACATATAGGAAATTACTTGTTGATAGGGATACATTACATCAGCTTAATTTGCTGAATGGTTACATTATAAAGTACTTAAGGATGATCAGTCAATCATATAAACTAATCCAAACATTCATAATTGTGTAATTTTTCATGCACAAGGTGCCTCATGCTGTGCAATCTGCTATAGCTAGACTCGTTCATTTTAAGGTGATAGAAGGGGAGAGAATATTTCTGTGGAGAGTATTTTTGGATATTGGTTCCATGCTGATGAACCCGCAGGACAGATACTATTCAGTACTCGCATTTTTCTGAGGACAGGAACCCACAGTCAGAATTCACCCTAAAATTCAGTGTTTGATGGTAATTGCAAAACTATACATACAAATTTCCTGCAACTGTTTCCCAGTCATCAAAGAGCTGACAGCCTGGGACAGTGCTCAATATCAGAGTAGCAGAGGCAAACTGACTAGCAAGATGGTGACTGAGGCACATGTGAACACGATTATGTGACCCTGGGTGACGTGAGGCTGTCAGGCACTGATGTAAGATGCTCCTTCCAATCAGATCATACCCAATGATGTAGGTAATAAAGATCTAAAGCAGACCCTTGTGCACTGAAAAGGGAACTAGCAGAACTGGGTGCATGTTGACTGAAGAATCCCAGGAATATTACATTTTTCCCATGGTCAAAACTAGTAAGATTTATTAAGGCCACTACAAGAAATAGAATCATGTATGAAATTATAAGCCTCCTTTTGGATTTGCAAACTTGTAGTCCATTCCTCATACTACCAGTGATATATTGTAAAACTCAATGACACTAATTGTAGACTAAGTGCTCTCATTTACAATACAGAATATTCCTGTTCCAACTGCAGTATCTAGAGAGTGCTCCCCTAAAGGCTGTTACAAGTCAGTTCTCGTTCACTTGCAGGTCTGAGGGAATGGATTCTAGGTCACCTCTGCCTAATAAGCAGAGAACTGTTCACAGCATGTTCACACAGAGCTCTGCTTAGTTCAGTGTCAGCTGGAGTACGGATTTATCAGGGTGACACAATTTCCCTTGCAAGAACAACCCAATCCAATTTTTTCTTTAATAAGTATATGATACTTTTGAAAATAATTTCATTGATTTCCCTGGGTTTACAAATGGTTCTGTTCTCTACATTCAGCTACTGCCTAGACATACTTTTAAACTTCTTCTCAAATATTTCTTCAACTCTCCCATATTTCTGTTGTTTTAATCTAAATCCACTCCTGTTGACCTACAACTTTCCCCAAACAAAGTGAGAGAATATATATTTCATGTATATTATATATATTTATTTGTTTTTCATTCATCTTGTCTTGGTTTGTGCTAGAAGACTAACAGTAATCATGACACCAAAGGCTATATAATGATTTCTGTGAAAAATGATACTGTGGGACTTGATCTTAGAGCATTACACTGAGGACATGTGAAGAAAGCAAAACATTGTTTAATGTTACATCCTTTTGACTGCACTCTGACACTGAAATTATTTGATATGATTTGCCTTATCCTGCCCTAGCATCATGACGTGTGGGCCAGACACAGCCCACAGGATGCATTCACCAGATTTATGGCTTTTGCCCTGCAGGGGATGGGGAGAGGCTGTTTGGGAAGGGAAGGCTGCTGGGATAGTGTAGTGCCACTCCAACTCCCTGAAGAAACTGGACAGCAGCTCCTGGTCCATCTGGCATGGAGCTGGGGGGACCAAGCATGGCACAGGAGGGTGATGTGGCTCTTGGGGCTTGGCCCAAAACACAGATCTAGCTCCTTGTTGCTTCCAGGACTAGGTCACCTCATCTAGGTTTGGTATGATGGGCAGGACACCTGTCTTTTGATGAACTGCTCAGAAGTACCTAAAAATAACTCCTAGAATCCAGAAGGCCCCTTGTGATGATCCTTTCACACCTTTTACAAAATTCAGTCTGACCAGTGCTTGCTGCCAAGTTCAGCCCCTGCTGCTGCTCCGGAGATGCAGCACATGTGCCACTACAGCAGAGAGCAGAAAGCCTTTGATTGTAGAGTTAGGGGAATAATGTGAGAAGAAAAGGGGGAAAGAGAAGAAAGAGTAAGTGCTGCCTGTGCATGCAGACTGACAGGGAGGGGGAACTAACTTCCCATTACTGCTTCTGGTGCTCCTCCTCACTTTCCACATTTACTGCCCAAACTAGTTATGCTAGATTTTCCTTTACAAACATCCAGGATTGAGAATTTTTTCCATGACCTTGTTCCCCACAAACATATGTACCTTACTTCTAACCTGAATTTATTTGGCTTCAATTTTCAGTCATGAGGCATGATTATAGTTAGTCTGATTAACTGCTGGTACTTACAGATGGTAACAAGTCTAACCTTGATTATGCATAATTCAGATGACGTAACCAGGCTGACGTATGAGGCCAAGTCAAATGTTCTTAAGAGTTTCTTACCTTCACATCATTGCCCCTGTCAACCTAATTGATTATCCTTTAAAAAATTATATTCAGTTTGATTAAATCAATAAACACACAGATCAGCTTTAATTTCACTGACCCATTTAAATTTATTAGCTAACATGGGGCTGAATTATGAATAATATTAAAGATAATTAATACTTACAAATAATACTTATTAGTCAGTCTCCTGTTAGCTATGCAGTATTTTCCACTGACTGATGTCAGACTTATAATTATTCATGTTATGCCACTTAGCCTTTAAAAGTACTGGCACAAAGTTAGCTTCTTGCTGCCTTTTGGAACCTTCCCAATTTTAAAGCATTTATTAAAAAATCAACATTAGTGTGACACAGTACTCATGGACCAGCTCTTTAAAAAATCCTAGATGCAACTTAAGCTGAAATCTTGATTGTAAAACATCTAGCTTTGATAGTTATTGTTTACCATTCTCATTAGCTACTGTGATGAGAGCTATTTCACCATCAGATTGAATATATCTGGCTTTTCCCCAAACATAGAGCAGAATATTTGTTCAACACTTCTTTCATTTTAGCTAATTCTTGATATCTACAGCATTTCTACCTAGTGTTGTAGCATTACTATTCTTCCTAGGTTTTGCATTCTCGTTATATATGCAAAATAACTTCATATTGCCCTCAGTTATGCTAAGCATATATCCCTTTTCTTGGCTACACCTTTTATCTATACCTGTTTTCTTGATTTCATCTTATATTAACTGCTAGCACCTTCCATTTGCCAGTGAGAAGAAAAGAAAAATGCTTGAAGCTGAGTTAGTTTTAAATTTGGGAGGAGCTTGTTTTCAATTGTGCTGTTTGCTAGGTTCGTTTTTTTTTAAAAAATCAGTGCAGCTTTGCTTCTGGTCTGTAGCTGTTTTGAACATTGTTAGATAGCTCACCAGCATCATTCATATTTTTTTTTTAATTCTTCCACCCAGATTAGACAGTTCTCAAATTTGTTAAATCTTATCTTTCACAGCACCAAAAATACCAGGATTTGACTCAATTTGTTTCGTGCAAATAGAATGAAGATCCTTTCAACCAACTGTTCATCCTTTGGTCAAGTCCTCTTTATCCATCAGGGTATAATATAAAAGCCACCAGTTTTGATTCAAGAATTTTTGAGAGCAGAAATTCAGTGTCCATAATACCTAGCAAAGCTTCAAACATGCAATAGCACTGGCAGCCTCTCAAGCTCAGCATGTGCCCCTCAGGCTGAAGTGCTTCCCTACTATAAAGACACATACACTGCCCTCCACAGCACATCTTCCCTGCCACAAAATCATCTCTGCTGTTGTGCCCAACCTCTTTTTGGCATCCAAATCTGTCACTAGTGCTGCCAGTTGTGTAAGTTTTCTAACAGGCTCTTGCATTAATCTTCTTTGCACTTGTTTTGTGCTCTTCTCTTGCTCTTGCCATAAGGATTGAGGTAAATCATCAATAAAGTAATGATTGTTTAGCTTTAGTCTGTGTTCAGACTGAGTATATTTTCTGGTGCAGCTCAGGAGGAATCTTCTATCACACTCCAAATTTTTTTAGTCCAAATATTCCTTGCAAAGTACAATAAAAAAATATTTATACATAAAATATCACAGGATCACAGCATAGCTGAGGTTGGCAGGGACCTCTGGAGATCATCTAGTCCATCCCCCCACTCAAAGCAGACTGCTTGGGGCCTTTTTAGAGTCGTGTTCTGAATTATCTCCAAGGATGAATACGTGAGTCACTAGAGCAGAAAGTACCTACTCTGTACCTGAAATGCTGTCAGGGACTATTAAAATAGGCTGCAGCCTGTGGTTTTGTGTACAAGGTAAAAATGTAAGCTGGGTTTCTGGTGGTTCAACAATAAAAATGTGAATCTGGAGTGCACTCGAGAGGAAAACACAATATCAGGTCACCACAGGTCCACCATCAGTGGTCAGGTATATTATAAATCAGTAGAGATGAACATAACCCATATCAGGTTTCAGAACCTAGATGTGGCTCTGACAAGATAAAGCAATAGCACCACTTCTTTTTAAAAATAACTGGGATTAGAGCTATTACCACCACTTGCATAGCACTATTCATCATCTGCCAGAACCATTCTTTTAGCAAATGTTCTCTCCAGTCATCAGCACATTATCTGTGGGGGACAGCTTCTATAAATGGGCTTGATGAAAATGTGACTTTTCAAATTGAGGGGTGCTGTTATAGTTAACAGTGCAATCTCTCCCTGTAATCACGTCAGCAGTGAAAGCAAAAAGAAACTGATTCATCTTCAAAACATTTCCCTTTTTGCTTGTTTTTCTCACTGTATGATGTTGCATTGCTAGGAAACACAGGCAAACTCCTACTGAGGATTCCCAATAAAGAGCCAGTGAAAGCAGTTACCACCAGGTTACATAATTTTCTCCTTTGCAAAGAACAGCACCTACTTGCAGTCACTACAAGCTAAAGGAGCAAAGCTGCACTTTCTCATGGCTTTTTGCCTGTAAATGCATTGCCATTGCTGCTCCTAGAAAAACACATCAGAAGTCCTTATGTTGAATTTCCGGGGTGTTTTTTTCCTACAAATTCAGGGTGATCTTGACAGACAGACCACTTGACTTTAATCAGAGAGTCATATTGACAAACCTCTGGGTTTAAAATGGCACTGACATTTCAAGGGTTTTTGTTGAAAGGAGCATGACTCATAAAGCATGGACTCGGGGGCTTGGCAGATGCTAGGAACATACAGCTGTTACTTCAGCCAGAACCCAAGATTTGGTGGAGAGAAGTAGCTATACATCCATGGAAGCCTTTCTCCATCTTTGGGTGATTGTCAAATTGTGAGTACTGTTTTCACCCTGTTGTCTTCACTATCACTGCTGGTAACTACTGGTCATGATCACTGACTCTGCTGACACAGTACCTAAAGTGCTTTCTGATAACAACTTCCAGTGGGCTCTAATAGCTTCTGTTACAGGGGATCTCTTCTAGGCTTCAATTATGAATTACATAAGCTTTTCATAATTTAGAATATGATGAAAATTTTATCCCTTTGCCCAATTTCTTGTCACAAAAATGAAACAACAGTTGCTTGTATTTTTCAGTATTATCATGCGGTTTTGTTATGGTTGTTTTTTACTAATATCTAACATGCCGAGTCTCCAACCAGATTCCATTTTAACTTTCACAAATGGAGCAAGCACATGGAAACAAGCTGATCCATGAAGGCTGGAACCAGGGATGCCTGATCTCCCCACTTCCTTGCCTGTGCTCTCTCTGATCCCACACACACCTAGGACCTTCCCAGTCCAGTAATCCCCTGTACCTTACATACATGTCCCTTCCCCAAATCTCCTGCAGAGCCATCACTGCTACAGTGCTGCACAAGCCAGCAAGAGCACAGCTTGCTGCTCAGGGAATCCTGGCAAACTGCCATGGCACTGGAATCTGTGCACTTTAAAGTGAAATAAAGTAACTTCTCTTTAAAAATTTGATTCCCCTCTAACAACTTACAGATATGCACCAGCACCATTCAGTTAATGTCTCATAGTATGTAAGTGCTTTATTTAAGCTGGAGAAATACTTACAAATTATTCATGCTCTCTGTTTTTCCCCACTTAAGAGTTTTCTGCTTCCATGTCTTTCCTGTTGGCTTTACCTTTGAGTACCATCTGGTCTACCACTGTTTCAAGCTTAGCTATGCTGAGATTTCCAGCTACGCTCTCAGTCACTTTTGCCTAAGTACCACCTCCTGTGTGCTAAAAGAACATCCTCAAACATTTCACAGGATGCATACTTATTTCAGGGGTGCAGTCCTGAAGTTGTCCTTTTCTCCTAAAGCTGTGCCTCGTGTCACCTAAGTCTTTCCAGACATGTAGCAAAGTATTTTTTTTACGACCCTGATGAGAAACAGCTCCTGAAGTTCTGGGACAGGACTCTGCCTGCTTTTTGCTCCGTATTCTTTATGCATTTCAACATATAGTTTTTTTCCATTACCTATTTCTTTAATGTTTCTTTCCCTCGCATATTTGCCGTATGACAAATACATTCTCTACTTAATCATTACTAGGCCTGTATGGGAGAAATCCAAATTTTGTGAGGCAGGCCTAGTTTTGGATTAGAATTCAGAGCTACCAAAAGATTTACACCTGTTCTGATTTAAGACTTTAGTACAGGGTTTTCCAGGGCTGAGAACCTTCAAAATATTCCTACATGGCAGCTGGTTCAGAGAGAGAGTTTTCAGCTAAGCAGATTTATAGCATTCAAAGATATAACATCTAGCATCACTGTCTCCCACATCCTGCAGTCAAATGATTCATTGTTTGGGGACCTTTTTCTGTCTGGTCATCTTCCCAGAAATTACTAGCCCAAGATCCCTTCCTCTGGTAGGTTATGTTTCTGCAAGGTGGCTGAATTCAAGCTGGATCACTAGTCATGAGCCACTCGGTGACATGACCAGCTTTTACAGCAATGAAAACCTATTTTCACTATGCTTTGGCAAATAATTTTTTGTAACTCTCTGTATAAAGACCATCAGAAGCTACTGGAATATTAAAGGTCTCTGATAACAAACTGGGAAGACTCTGAAAAGTGCAAGCCAAACACAAGAAGCTGGAGCTAACATTGCAAGATCACGGAGGGGAAACACTACGAGATCTTGGAGAGCAGACTGAAGTCTGAATTCTAAAAACCTTCAGCCTACTGCTAGACACCTGTCATGGGGAATGTTGCTTAACTTTTGTGGACAACGATTCTCCTTCTTCTAAACCTTAAAATGCACTGTATACCCAGTGCCTTCTTGAAAAAAAATTAGAAGATGAAAGGACAGCCTAGGTGATAAAAGTTAGAATTTTGTTCTCCATATGGATATGACAATCGTGAGTACATTAAGAGATGTACACACTAAGGAGAATCAGTCACTTAGCGATTGATTTTGTTCACACTACTGAAAAACTAGTTATTTGTTAAAGTTGCCACTGATCAAGCTGAACACTTAGTACTTTTAAAGCAATTGAAATAGGACTAAATACATTTTATCCTGCTCTGCCGGATTGTTGCGATTATTTTGTCACAAGAAACGAATGAATTTGGGAGCTGCAAATTTCTGAACACAAAAATATCACATTTGGCTCTGGGGAAGCAAAACTGTAGCAGAGACATCTTTCTTCCTACTCAATTCCCATATTGTCTAGACTTAGGGAATTACTTGTGGCACAAGTCAAAGTGCTCATGGGTTTGCTGTAAGCTGAGCCTAGTTGCCTTCCAAGATAGGTCCCAGAGATTCTTCTACCAGATGATAATTATGGTGGTTAAGTGCACAGCTCTATAATACCTGCAGCTCTTCTGGACTGGGGGAATTAGTCATGGGGTAATCCCAGTTTGATACTAGGACAGAGTTTCCACCATTCTGCCATAAACTACTCCTTCCTTGAAGAAATGTTAAAAGTCACAGTGTACCAATATTATCACTTGAATTTGGCCTAATAGCTTTATTTTACACAACAACATTGCCAAGTCATTGAAAAGGACAAGCCAAATTCATATTACACATATTGTAGCATAACATATTTCCTTCTGTAGAATAAGTGCCAAATAAGTAACACTTAGGACTGAGGGAAGGTGGCCTGGCATGTAGAATAACTCTTGGAACACAAACAGGGACTTTTACAACATCAGGAATTCAGCAATGTGACGGAAAACTTTGGCCTGAGTGAAGATGTATATCTCATCTTTATCCATATAATGGCATCTAACTGATTGACACATAAGCTCTGTCAACACAAGAAATGCAGGAAGTGTTTGACAGACAAACAGACCTGTCTTTTGTTTACAAATGCCAAGACTTATGGATTCCTGGCTTCAAAGATGTTTGACATGCAAAGCACTGCAGCTGTGGCTATCCCCAGGAAAGCAATGAGCTGGGTGTTATTTGAGTATGCTCTCAGCAAATACTGTCTGAGAGTCCTGTCCTCTGAAGAGTTAGTTTGACAGCTGCTATTTATTATGAGAAAAATAGCAACTGTAAAGCTGCTTGCTACTTTATTTACCCAAAGTTTAGCAGGAATCATGGTGCTAGGATATTAAAAGAAATATTTTTCATTTAGTACATCTGACCCCAAATCACTAGGGACCAGTTGGTCAGATTGCTACCATTAATTACCAGCATGTTTTTAATGTCTTGGCCACTTCTAAGATTAAGCACAATCCAAAAACTATTATATTCCTGGAATTGCATTAATAGAGGATAATGCTGATTTTGCATACAGAGTTTTGCAGCTCCTACCTGTAAAGTGCTGATGTGGACAGGAGTCCCTGTGCCATTCACAGTGTTCTTCTTGGCAGCATTTCCACCCTTCCCTTCCGCTTGCTCTGCCTTGGCCATCTTTGCTTTTTCAGCTTCAATTCTCTTTGGATTGTTTAGCATTACCTGAACCACAGCATACTCCACCAGGGATGCAAACCCAAAGAGAAGGCAAACAATCAGCCAGACATCTAAGGCCTTCACGTAAGACACTTTGGGAAGTTCAGCGGCAAGAGTGGTACATTCAGATGCCAAGCTGAGCACTGAGAAAATACCTACAAAAAGAGAAACAACACAGTGGTTAAAGAAAACTGCCTTTTATTGGCACTGGCTGTGCTCTTCCTCTGAAACAGACAATAGTGAATGATGCTGCGTAACACTGAATGGGACTTCACAATGTGGTTGGTGTACAAAGTGCACATGCCTTCAGGTGACGAGTAAGCTCAACCGAACACTTAAGTAGGACAGCACAGTTAATGATGAATTATTAATAATGAATACCTTCAAATTATAAACAGAGAAACAAATAAATGAGGCTAAACTGATTGCTGTGGTTTTCCTGCCCCATCACACAGTTGGGAAATGGGCTTTCCAAAGACTTATCTTACAATATGCATCTAACTCCAAGAAGGTGGAAGAGAAATATGACACTTAAACCAAAAGACTCTAAGTCCTTTAAATTAAGTGACTGTTGTCCCAGAAATCTGAACCATGCCACAGCAGGAGCAATTCTCTGAATGACCTGTTCACAAGTGTGATATTCAAACCTTAGATGAAAGGGAAGGTTTTGGTGAGGAGCAAAGCTGTATGAACACATCAAAAAGTCTCTGCTCCTGATTCACTGTGAAGATGAAAACATCGAGGTGACTGAGATTTTACAATCACTCTCTATTTGAGCTTCCAGGATCTAGAGGAAGCTTTCTAGATAAAGGGCATTTCAGGAAGTTCTTATCATGAAAAAACCCTCACATGTGCAAAGGCTGTTGAAAGGTCACACATTGTGGATTTCAACAAGCATTTCTCCTAACAAGGCTTTCAAATGTCATCATCAACACAGGGCTCACCTCACAAGGGATAAAATACAAGCCTGATCTCAAAGAAAGATTTCTCACAGGCTCCTATGAAAAGAGAACAGTAGCATGAACAGCTACATTTGGAAAAGACTAACTTCAGAAATGGCTGTTCTTAGCCATTGGGGGAATACTTGGTTCAACCTCCAAGATCAGAACGTCCCATTTTGTTTTTGTGAATGCTAATGATAAAAATCTTTACCTATGAGTAGGCAGCTTAATGAACTATAATTGATGACTATAGAAAGTGTGGGCCAAAAAGAGATACTCAGTTAGTCTCAATTACGCTTCTTATATTGGTCACATCTGCTATCCAAACCTTGAAAAATTTTGGCATTCACAGAGAGATGATTTTCTTCAGATCTATTTTAAGTAACTGAGGATGTGAAAATGTTATTTAAATTGAAAGTATCTGTATTGGCCTATGAAAATATTCAACTCTAGTTGATCATAAATAATCCATTCTTTTGCTACTGTTCCCATCTGGATTTCAGTAAGATTGATATACTTTATTTGGTATTAATCTCAAATGGGCAATTTACTAGCTGCAAAAACACTGAAGTGTAAGGAACTGTTTATAGTCATGTGATTTTAAGCCACAAAATATTATGATGTTTTATTTAGAAATGTCTAATATCAATATATCAGTGCAAAGCTGGATTTTTTTGTCCATGGGGACAACACAGAATGGCCAGATGTGTTATCTCAGAGTGGAATGATACAGCAAATACTGAACAGACAATCTTCAGTGTCCACTCTGGCTTATTTTCCATCCACTGTATCTGAGAATCATGTACAAGAATTCCCATAAGGCTAGAAAGTGAGTATACAATACTTCTCTTGTAAAAAAATTTTTCACTTACTAACACCTGCTGCCTGGGGGTGAATACTAATTATGGATCATAAGGAGCTGCAATAACAAGTACAAATAAGGCTGTACTGCCTCTTCACATGCACAGGATGCCTTTGCCTATGCCCAGCATGCTGGTTCTCTAAAAGTGTTTGGCATAAAGCACCATGCATGTCTATGCTACACTTCTGAAAAGCAGCCTCTACCCTTACCCTGAAAAAACAGATTAACCAAAGGTGCTGGTTTCAGCCGGGATGGAGTTAATTATTTTTTTTCTTCTCGGTAGCTGGTACAGTGCTGTGTTTGGATTCAGAGTGAGAATACTGTTATTATTAAACTGTTCTTATCTCAACCTACATATTTTATTTTATTTTCTCCTCCCCATTCCTCTGGGTTGGGGCGGGGGGAAGTGGGGTGAATGGAATGGCTGCGTGGTTCTTGGCTGCTGCCTGGGGTTAAACCATGACACCAAGGACATGGGCTGGCTCAACATCTTGTATATAGTATTATTTTTTCTACTGACTTTAAAAGCATTGACTACCTAAATATGTGAATATTATTATCACGCCTGGTGCCAAAAACACTTGTACACCCACTTTTAAGACCTTAAAATACTAGATCTTACAATCTTGGACTGAATTCTACAGAATTACAAATTCTACTAGCTGAAAAGATTTTTCTGGAGCTCTCATTAATTTGTTCGGTAGAGTAATTGAGGTCACAGTGACCTGGAGCTAATTTCCATTTTTCTGGATTCCTAAAATGAAAGGTTCATTCTAGGTTTTCAAGGTAACAATAAAGTGAGACAGAAGCATAGAAATATTCTATTAAGCAACCATTTGCTGCCTGACTAGAGTTGGCATGGCCTTGGAGACCCTAGTATCAGAGTTGCAAGTTGCACCTCTTGTAGCAGCTGCACTAAGTGTCAACCTAACACAATCCAAAGCTCAAGGCTCAAAAGTGAGTGAGGAGCATGAACAAATTGAAAGATTATTAAAGAAAAAACAAACAACAAAAATTTCCCTTTTACTTCTTAGGGAGCACTAAAAGGGACCTAGAGCTGCTTCCTCCACACTTGCAAAGCAAAGGGAAAGATGGCATTTCCAGAAAATACCTCTGCACTTTTGCCCCTAGTATGGCATCCCTCTTGATGACAAAATTTTGTTTTATCAGTAAGGTTAATTAGCTCCCAGTCTAAAGCAAGATTGTACAGAGCTAGTATTTTTAAAAACTGACCTCAGGTTACATGTCTTAAAGTTCAGCAAAGCACTTCAGCACATGCCAGAGAAATAAATCTCCCTTTTTTTGAATCCATCAAACTTACTGGCCTCAGCACTATCTCCTGGAATTGAATCCCACAGGTTTATTATGCGTTGTAAAAAATAGTATTTTCTGGTTTATATTACTAGTTTAAAAATGTCTGGGTTCATCTCACTAATGTTATTGAAAAAGCTAATATTCTGTCTTGCTTTCCTTGCAATTTGCTACTTCCAATACATTCTCTTCTCTCATTACATTTCATAAAGTAAAAGACATCATCTTGCCACTCCTTCATGCAACAGTTTTAACATACATCTTTACATCTTTCCTTTGAGACCCTAGAGTTGTTACATTCTTATAAAATAAATGACTAGAACTAAGACTGATCTGAGGACAAGAGTGATGAGGGATGAGAGGGGCATGTCTGGCTGCAGACCTAGCTGTCCTTTTTATGTGGGCAATGCACCAATGATCCCTCCTCCAAGCTTCTAGTTACCCTGTTGCACTCCCAGCTGCACTTGGACAAATGCTCCATACTGCCAGGCCACTGCAGGTGCATAGAAGCCTGACGTCCCTCAGATCCCTACAGCTCCAGGGAAAGTCTTACTCCCTTTGGGGATAACACAGCAGTGAAGGAAGGAAAGAACTTTTTTAAATAGATGCTGGCAGCTTTACGCCTGTAATGAACTGCAGAGTTCTGTGTTGGGCTCATTAGAAGACAAAACACCAGCATCGAACTAGAAAGAAGCATTCGGTGATATCAGTCTTTATGTTGCTTAGACACAGCTGCTCAGATCCCAATCCTTCGTGGACTTCTCTACTACCAGCTGATTCAGTTGGGTGAAATCAAACAGGTATAAATAGGGCTTGCAACTTATTTAGTTCCAACATGGATACAAGCTTTTTCTTCAAACAAACGTAAATCCTTTTCCCAGAACATTAATCAGTCTATAAAAACATAGTTCTGCTTACTGACTTGCAATGTGTCTTGCATTCCTAAATCACCTGGAAATTTCCAAGATGCCTTGCCATGGGGAGCAGTAGCCCACAATGCTAGGCAAGACTGCATTAACATATTTCTAAGTAAATCTGAAGTAGCTTCTTATCTGATGAGATCTGTATCTAGCCATTGGTAACACTTTCTTGACGCTAGATATCATTCAGTTGACACACAAACATTAATCTTGTTAGATTTCAAAGTCAACTATCTTCAGAGAAGTAGCTAGAAGAGTTAGTTTGTTGCCTTCTGAAAACTGGAGAAACATAAATCTTACCCCAGTGACAGTGTTACAGACTTCATTACTAAAATACTGACAGCTCAAGGATGGTCAAATTTAGGGCATTTTGCTTCCCTGAGATTCAGGAAAAGTCACATAGCCAGGTCAATGGTCAGTATCTTTGAAAATGCATTATTTCAGAAATGCTTATACATAAGGTGAGTCAATAAACACAGTGAATGAAACAAACAATAAATAATCATGTACATTTAGTCACAAAGACATCCATGTTACACAGATCAGCACTCACTATGCCTCTCATAAATCTAATATATAATTAAGAAGTCTGTCTGGTTTGCTATTTGAAGCACAGGATTATAAAAGTGGCAAGACACTCAGTTTTGATCACATTTGAGTTAACTATTTGAAAAATACTTCCAGTTCCTGTTTCATTCTTTTCAATTTAATGCATGTGGCGTTTTCCCCACACTTTTTCTCTTAAAATGTCTTATGTTTCTCATTACAGAATGCATCCTTGCGACTTTTCAAGGTAAAAGATTATATTTGTTACTTGCCATGAAACTAATACACATCGAGACGCCTCCCCAAGTAGCTATTAATATTTTTAAAGGTCAAAAGAAAAAATCTTATTTGTATTCTGAAACAGAGCCCTAGAAATAAAAACACTAAATGTAACGTGGGTTTGTTACATTTACAGCTAGGTAGCCAACTGCATCTCACAAACCAAGTCATGGTTCTCCAGATTTTTGAATAGAACAGACTATTTCCACTTGACAGGACATTTAGAGATCATCTAGTCCAACTGCCTGACCAATTCAGGGGCTGACCAAAAGCTAAAGCATGTTAAGGGCATTGTCCAAAGGCCTCAAACACTGACAGGTGTTCTCAGTAAAGAAATGCTTCCCAAAGTCCAGTCTGAACCTCCCCTAGTGCAGCTCTGAACCATTCCCACACATCCTACCACTAGATACCACGAAGAGCTCAGCACCTCCTCAGGAAGCTATAGAGAGCAATGAGGTTGCCTCTTGGACTCCTTTTCTCCAAATGAGGCAAGCCCAGAGTCCCCAATCACTCCACATAGCACATGCCTTCCAGCCCTATCACCAGGTTTGCTGTTCTCCTCTGAACACATTCAAGGACCTTAATACCCTTCTTATACTGCAGTGGTTTTGCAGCTCTGTCTCTTATAACACTGGAAGAAGAAGAGGCATGGCAGATTACCTGAGACAAAAGCAATGGAGCTCAGGCCAGGGGCTATGTGGATGTTTTTCCACCTAAAAAAGCTCCACACGCTTCCTGCTCCAGCTGGCTCTTAACACAGAGATTTCAGTTACCCACTGCTCAAGACTCTGCAGCTCACAGACTGGTAAAGGGATGTGGCAGGTCCTGACTCCAGGGGCTCCAGTCAGACCTAAGAGGTTTCTGGGGAAGGAAGGTGGCTAGGGGATTCTGCAACTGCACCACTGGGGTCTTGAAAACAGGTGCACTAAATCTCCTGGGACATGGCAACAATTTGCAAAGTATGGACTTGGGGAGGTGGGAGTGCCAGAGAAAAGGGGAGGCCAGAGTATGGGGAAGGGAATCCAGATAAAAGTGTCAGGATGCAAGAGCCTGGCTTTGCGTTTCACTGAGCTCTTGGGTCAGCAGGTTTGGCCACCCCAGAGCTGGAGTCCTGTGTACAATCCAATTAGTCAAGATAATATTGTTTTTAGTAACTCTGTGTCCTACTATTTCATAATAAATGAAGGGCCTGCCTATTGTGCTGTGCTGAGCAGCATGACTGTATGAGCTTGAAGTGCTCTCATGAACTGAGTTTCTAATGAAATAAAGCCCATCACGTAACAAGAATGCTAATTCTTTTCCAGGCACCACTCGTTTCTACTAATCTTCAGAAAAACTGCTCCAATAGCTAGCTATTTAGAGCCTTACTTAACATCCTGCTTTCCTACTGGTTATTCAAATGTTCAAATTCCTATAAACTGCATATTGCCAAAGTGTCTGCAGCATCACCCATACACAGATAGGATCAGATTTGCCCAGGTTGAGAGGAGCAGAGACAGTGTTCTTACCATACAAATGCTGGAACTATTATCAGGCGAAGACTCGATGTGGAGGTGGATCTTACAGAACTAGGAATGAGGAGGTTTCAGTGCAAATGATGAGTGGACAATGGAAGTGAAGTTGCTTTCAGGGTCCAGTGTCATGTTGTCAAAGCAACTGAGAATGGTTCAATGGTGCTAAAGTGGATTGTGACAGTACGTGAAAACACAGGTTACCCAGTGGGACTCTTGCAGCACTTGCATCAGGATTGATCCAAAATGACAGCCAGGATAGAACAACAATTAGCAGTGTAGGAGCATAAACACCCATCATGTAAAATCCAACTTGTCTTCTTAAAGTGAAGATTACTTCTACACAAGTGTAATAACCTTTAAAGAAATAAATGCATTAATGCTTAATGTGCTTTGCATGTGAACCTCTGATCTGTATCTTCCAGGACTTTTTCTATTTTAGAGCAAAAGTTCAATGGCTTGATTTTCTTTATAAAGGCAAAGAGCCTAATTTTAAAAAAGTAAAAATTTAAAACACAGATCTACATAGCCACCCAGTGTGGCCAGGCTGTGGTACTCTCTGTGCTCTCTTAGGCATCTTTAGGCACATCACTAGCAGGCAGCTAAAGTGACTCTCATCTTGATGCTGGCTTCAAGATGCAGTCCAGACAAAACCAATGGAGTCTAGCAGTCCTGCTAGCTTATGCTCATCTGAAAATCCTACGTAGCATTAATTTGTGCAAAAGATGGAATTACGAAATATTAGTCTAGAAAGTTTAGAATGGAAAGAGGTGATATGAATGTGGCACTAATCAGAGACTCTCCCAGTATGGAAAGCTGGTAAAAATGACTACTAAAATCAGTACAGATGTTTTTTAAAAGACACAAGAAAAATTGTAAATTTTGAAAACAAGGAATACTGCATGAAATTATCTAACATGAAGATCTAGAGCACAAAAACATTTCAGAAGATATCTATTTAAAATTAATTCAACAAAAAATAAAGCTGCAGATACAAAAGGTTTTGCTGGAGATAACAAATGGATCAAGAAGTTTGATAACCAGAAAAAAAAATCTGTTCATGTTTTCACTCAATTAGCAGAATTGGCATTTTCATGTTAATAGTAACAAAACAGCATTGTAAAAAAAAAAACAACTTCAAAAACTATTCTGTCACAAGGAAAAAGCATTCCTACGTTAAATTACAATGACTTCAAAATTCAGATTGGTCTGTCCAGTTGGTGCAAGGCTGATTTAGAAGACAGAATGTGTCAAAAAGTTCTCTATTGTCCACATTTTATCAATTTCGTGCTGTACAATGCTGTCATTGTAAAAGTGCTGTTTGGGCATACAAATGCCAAAACACCAAAACAATAAAACATTAAGGAAAAGCTTTCTTGTGTAGAAGACACTATACTGTATCTTAGAGTTCATTCTATCATCTTTAGTGATCTGTTGGCTGAAATGTTTTCAGGCTATAATTTCTGAATAGTTTCCAAATACTTTTATGTTTTATTTTCAAATCAGGGATGACCTTCAAAATCATTATTTGCTTGTGTAATGTAGGAAATGCATTCTGTATGTCTCCATTTGAATAATCTTTCATCAGACAGAAAATAGTATCTATTGCCCTCACAATTCAGCTCGCAAGGACCTATTTGGTTCTGTCATACAACTGATGAACAAATAACAGGCAATTTGCAAATATAAATATTCAATTTATTGCCACAAAGTCATGCCAAATTTGCTGACTCTCTTTCAACTTAGGTAGGTATGATAAAACATCAGTTGACAAAAATAGGCACTAAAGATTAAGTTCTTTGCAATTGGCAGGAATCTCTAACGTAATCCGTAATTGTGAAAATTTGCTTCCTCATGCAACACTGTTTTTTGATTCCCTGACAAAATCCTTAGCAGAAATAACTTTAACTCTGTGTGTAAAATCTGCTTTGTAAAAATACCTTCAGCCTAAGGCCTTACATTAACTAAAAAATGGAGTACTGAAAACATCCTTTAAAAAACTACTTCAGTACTAAAATATTCCATTCCCATTAATGAAGTATCAATTCCAGTTTTGATTACATGATTAAATGGATGTTCTTAACAGAAAGGATTTGCAATAAAAGAATTGTGAAAACTTTTGAAATTTTTTTTCACTCTGATGGTTCTTTCATGCTCTTTATTTAATGTTCAGATCACATACACACAACCAAATGTGACCATTTCACTGAGCACTTTGCGCAGTGCCATTTTAACTTGTGGTCACACACTGATGAAACTTGAGAAAACACCACTGATTTTCCTTGTGAAATTCTTAGATTTTCCTTTAAGGTTCCTAAGATACCTAAAATATCTAAAGGCTTTTTAAATGTTTAATTTCGGATTTAGGCCAAAAATCAAAATGATCATCATAACTACGATAATGAGACAGCAATCTTGAGCATTTCTTTTTTCCCTCCAATAGAATATAAGTTTTACAATTTTCCCATTTGTATGAATTTTATTTGGGAAATGCAAGAACCATTCCTTTAATATTTCACTACTTTATAGCCTATATGTTTTCAGAAAAATCGTTGTTTAATTAAGAACAAACATTTTTCTCACTGCTAAGTAATTTTCTGCCATATCCGAACTTAGACTTGAATGCAATCACTGCCAGCTGTCAGATGTGCTTTCACAAATGCAGAATTTTCCTGAGGGCAGCAAATTTCACATTATTTACAAATGGTAAATCACCTGAGATGCTGAATTATGTAGTTAGGCAAAAAGCTCACTCATTTTGCAGTTAAAAAAAGAAATCCCACTTCAATTTTCTTTATCTTTTTAAGTTAAATTCTTTAACTCTGAGATCTACTAAGGTTACTTGAGATCTCTTCAGACTTGGAACCTAGCTCAGGAGCAACTGCAAGTAACAGACCCTCCACTTCAGCTGGACAGTCAATGAGAAACTTGCAGAGGGTCCACAGAAGCTGCAGCACCACAGACCTTCTTGTTGAGTTTTAATGGGAGATTTATTAATATGATGTGAGAGTACTAACTAAAATACACCTGCTGACTTCTGTTCTTGCAGAAAGTCTTGTGGTTGCCACAGTATGTGAGTACAATGTATGGATACAATTATAGGCAGGAATCAAATAAGGTAGAAAAGATAAAGCATTAAAAGCAGAGTACAGAAACCACTGGATAAAATTTGTGCCCACTCACAGAAAATAATCACAGGATTAAATAAATACAAGGCTGAGGATTGTAAGCAGCCTTCGATAAAGACAGACTTTCCAGAACACTTAGAGAAAGCAAAAACCTGCAGGGTGAAGCATTTGAAGTTAGATTTTAATGCTATCCTCTAATGGAGCAAAAGTGGAACCAGAAAATCAAAGTTTATCCACTTTGCTGCAAGTGGCATGATTCTGCATGAACATCCTTTCAGAAAAGTTAGAAACAAAATGGGGATAGTAAGATCACAAGACATGCAAGCAAACCAAGAAACAGTCTATCTCATCAACTTAGATGTTTCTATATTTGAATTATTTTGCAGTAATCACATATGAAGGTTACTATGATATGAACTACTTATTAGTTAAAAGTAATCTGGTTTATCCCATGAAACATAAGACATGGACAGGAATATTAATCATTAACTACAAACAGTAATTCAAGGAAGCTTAAAGTTTTTTCCATGGAAATCACTTTTATTACCTACCTGTGCCTTTGTAATACTTGGTACAGTTACCATATTCGATATCCTCCTTTTTAATATCAAACTGAGGCAGAGCAATTTTCTCTAGCTGTACAGGATCTCCAGACTGCCAGATAAACCGTAAGTCATCAGTTGTGTAACCAACTACAAGAACAAAATAATAATAATTGTTTAAAGAACCATCACAAACAGAGTAAACTCTGCAAAAAAATCTAGCACATATCTATCATATTTCTTTCTATTTCTATTGCATGTTCACATAAATAAATAAAAAAAAATCAAGTAATTCACAAGTGAATTTTTGTGCAGGCCTAAATTAGGACTCAGTGGGTGGAACATTACATTATCAGCAGTATTACACTGACTGCCTGATTGCCTTCTATGATTAAACAACTGCCTGGATGGACAATGGGAGAGCAGTGAATATTGTCTACCTTGACTCCACCAAGGCTTACTACACTGTCTCACAACATTCTTATAGTCAAGAAGTGTGGGTTGCACAAGGGGACAGAGAGGTGGATTGACAACTGCCTGAGCAGCCGATCCCAGAGAATCGTGATCGGTGGCACAGTTCAGCTGGAGACCTGTCACTAGTGGTATCCCCCAGGGTTCTATACTTGGCCCAGTATTGTTTAACCTGTTCATCAGTGACTTGCATGAGGGGACAGAGTGCCTTCTCAGCAAGTTCACTAATGATACAAAACTGGGAGGAGTGGTCAACCACCCGGAGTGCTGTGCAGCCCTTCAGAGTGACCTCAACAGGTCAGAGAAATGGGCACCAAAGAACCATCTGTACTTCAACAAGGGCAAGTGCAGGTCCTGCACCTGGCGAGGAATAACCCTAAGCATCAGTACACTTTGGGCACTGACCTGCTGGATAGTAGCTCTGCAGAGAAGGACCTGGGGGTCCTGGCAGACAACAAGCTGACCATGAGTTAACAGTGTGCCCCTGTGGCTAAGAAGGCCAATGGAATCCTGGAGTCCATTAGGAAGAGCAGTGCCAGAAGGCCAAGGGAGGTGATCCTGCCCCTTTACTCAGCCCTTGTGAGGCCATGACTGCAGTACTGTGTCCAGTTCTGAGCTCCTCAGTACCAGAGGGACAAGGAGCTCCTGAAGTGGGCCCAGTTGAGGACAACAAAGATGATCAAGGGACTGGAGCATCTCTGTTATGAGGAATGGCTGAGGGAGTTGGGCCTGTTCAGACAACTGAGAGAGGACCTCATTAATGTATATAAGTATCGGAAAGGGGCAGTGCCAAGAGGATGGAGCCAGGCTCTTCTCAGTGGTGCAAACCAATAAGGCAAGAGGAAACAGGCAGAAACTGATGCACAGGAAGTTCCAGCTGAATATGAAGGAAGAACTTCTTTACTTTGCTAGTCACTGCACACTCGAACAGGTTGCCCAGAGAGGCTGTGGATTCTCCCTCACTGGAGATATTCAAGAGCCCTCTGGCTGCAAACCTGCCATGTGCTCTAGATGACTCTGCTTGAGCAGGGAGATGGGACCGGATGACCCACTGTGGTCCCTTCCAACCTGACCCATTCTGTGATTCTGTGAAAAGAATTTAACAACTCAATTACTGTGACGAATTTGGATTTTGTGTAAAACCACCTCTCTGCCTAGTTGTTCAGACTAAAAGCCCTGATTCATGAACACATTATCATTGAAGAAATACTTGATCAGGAGTTTGAGCAGATGTGTAGTCCTGCTGATACCAGTTCAGTGCCTTTGTGACCTCCTGAGCATGGACAGACTTCAGCATATCTCTGAGCATCTAAGTCATAATATATACTCCACAACCACCAAGTGACAGGCAGTGAAAGTTACACTCACAATATTCAAGCATAAAACAATATTAAATATGCATAATCAGATTCTTGATTTTACATGCCATTTTTCTGCTTCCTTCCATTTATTAAAGATTAACTCAATTCAAACAGAGATAATGTGTGGTAGATGGGAACAGAGATGAGAAAACAAAAAATATGGAGTTGTAATGCAGCATTTTGCAGTTCAAAGCCTTGGAAAAATATGTAAAGAACCACTCTTTTTCTGGAGGCATTAGATTATATTTTTCAATCTTTGAAAAACAGCTGTGATTAAAAAAGTGAAACTGTTCAAAAGGCAATGTCTCTATGATTCACAACAATTTAATAAAAATCACAATGTCTCAAAGCTCCATGATGGAAGATAATGTTAAAAAAAACATAGTTGTTTTAATGTTTCATTCATAAAATCAGTCTCACCCCCTTCCAACACAGAGCATATCACAAAATTGCCAAGATCCCTTATGATAAAAATACTGGAAGTGAAAATTTTGTCTATAGAGAATGTGTTGAACTGGGGATCATAACTGTAGATATGAGAACAGTTTAGTGAAAGCTGGTGACCTTTTTTCAGTTTGAAATCTAGCAAGTAGATACAAAATATTGTTTTGAAAACAGCCTAAGTAGAATAAAACTGCAATTGATAACATGGAAAGAACTGAGTTCATGGGTACCATTCCTACTTTTGACAGCTGAATTAAAAGGCAGAAGAAGGGCATACTGTCTTTCTAAAAAAGCAAATTCCTCCTGAATTTGAATATATCAACTTAACATGAATTTTTTAATGAGTAGTTAATTCATCATTGAATAACTACACCTTGAAATGCCTATGAAGCAACTTGGACTGAGAAAGTTGAGAAAACTTCCACTAAAATTACTAATTTCAATTTAACCCCAAACTGATTTGGGTTTACCATAAGAGTTTACTTCAGCTAATGTATATACACAGTAGTGATAAGCAAAACTACTATGGACATACTACAATTCCAAAGATAGAAAAATATTTAGATCTAAAGATTCTGGCAATGAAAAACTATATTGTAAAACTTTGATATTATTAGTATTATTACCCTTGTCCCCACTGGGATAACCTGCCCAGCTTTGATTAACCTTGCTCTTTCTTCACTTTTGACTTCCTCTCCCTAACCTCACCTTCCCCACAAGACCTGATGGAGTAAGAGCTGAACAAAGTTTTTGTGTTACAGCAGGAACAGGATGGAGCAAGCCACTTTCCTTCACACTTGTCCTTGCTGAGGAAAACAGAATTACCATGGAAGTGGGATCACCAGGGATCTAAGCATTGGGAAAAGGCTGTAGTTGAGTAGACACCTGTGTACTGGGGACACAGGAAGGAAGATGCGTTTCAGAAACATTTGTGTCTGCAACTTCCAGCATGGCATGAAACCCTTCAGAGATGAAACTTGTCTGCCCCTTCATAAGACTAATTCACCTACAGACTAGGGCAAGATTGGTAAAGAACAGGTGCCTGACTACATCCACATCTTGAAACCACTTTCAAAAGGTTTCATACTAAATGCTCTCTGTTCTGGCATCTAATACTTTTCCTTCGGTACCATATCAAAGGACTTTCAAACTCAATGCATCATCCATGCATCATCAGTGCAAGGGGATAAATTGGACCCTAACAACCTACAAAGCAGCACAGGTTGTGGAAGTTAAAACTCCCTGGGGAAATCATGGATTCTTTTTTCCAAATGATACGTGTTTCCATTTGACTAAGTTTATTGGTAAATGTTTTTATAAAACTCCTCAGTTGTCATTATGCTTGATAGAAAAAGCTAAAAACAAGAGTGCACAGTGCCATAACTGCAAGAAACATATTTGACTGGTAGGAACCATGGCATATTAATTTCAAGATTCATTAGAAATGTTGACATGAACAATACAGAATTGATAATTTTTGTTTGATTCTCATGCATGCCTAAAAGAGCATTGTTTTTATGCCAAGAATGATTTACATACAGCTTTCCAATTGCATCTTGCAGCGCTGTGTATCCATAGGAAACAAGGTCAAGTCCAAAGGGCATGACAGAGTAATAGACAATCTGAAAATACAGAAATAGTATTTAAAAACAGTGTGAGCTGCCACGTAAGCAGTAGCTGGGCATAAAAAAAAAATAATCACAGGCATTTGATTTTCATCTTCTAAAATAGCAGAAACAAAATTTACAGTTAAAATTAGCAGTTTGAAATGGAGATATTGCTAGTATAAAGTAAGAGAATAAAATTTTATAGAGTTTTCAACACAAATTAGAGAACTACTGATACAAGACAAAATACACACAGAATAATCAAACCAAATGTCCATACTGAACATCCTGTCTCCAGCAGTGGCAAATGGCAGACTCCTGAGAAGAATATGACACTACAGCAATCTGGAAATTTTATTTTGCCATATATCCAGCTGCATCCCAAAAGCAGCAGCTCAAGGACTACCATAACCAGAAGCAATGCTTCAGTATTTATGGGACCTCAACAGATTTTTTTCCTCTCCAAGTTGTTTTGCTTCCAGTTGCTTTCTGGAAAGTGTGTGTCCTGCTTTTGGCTGGGACAGGGTTAATTTTCTTCCTAGTACCTCGCACAGTGCTGTGTTTTGGATTCAGTATGAGAATAATGCAGCTAACACACTGATGTTTTGGCTGTTGGTCACCAGTGCTTACCCTAGATCAAGGACTTTTCACTTTCCCACACTCTGCCAGTGAGCAGATACACAAAAAGATGGAAGGCAGCAGGGATGGGATGAGCATCAGTCAGCAGGTGGTGAGCAACTGTACTGTGCATCACTTACTTCTCTTGGGTTTTATGTGTCTCTCCTTCCCTCTCATTTTTATTACAATCAGTATTAGCATTATTACTAGTATTATTGTTTTATTTTGCTTCGATTATTAAACTGTGCTCAACCTGCAAGTTTTATGGGCTTTTTTTCCTGATTCTCCTGACCCCATGAGGGCCAGGGTGGAGGGAGAAGTGAGCAAGTAGCTATGTGGTACTTAGCTGCCAGCTGGGGTAAAACCAGGACACCATGTAAACTTGCATCATGCACAGCATCTTGTGGCAAGGAATGCCATAGCTAAGCTGCACACATTCTAATAATTTCTGTTTATCTATCCTGTCTCATAGTTATTTTTACTGGAAAAGAAAGCAAAAAAAATCAATGTCCATCCACTCTCTCAGTGTCATTTGTGATTTAGACTTCTATGCCACCACCATAATTACCTTGTTTTTTCCAGTGTGAAAAGTTCTGCGTTGCTCAGCTGTTCCACAGCTTTTACCATCCTTGCCTCCCTTCTTGCAGTGGGAAGACTAGAACTACACTTGGTATTCAAGATGTATGTATCCTATGCATTTATGCAGTGGCATAACATTCTCAGAGAATGTCTAGACATTTTCAGAGAACTAGCCATTGCTAGTCAAAGACAATTTTCTTCGCTGGCAATAACCACCTCAAAATCAATCAGTTTTTATGTGAAGTTAAAATGCTTTTTCCCTTATGCATCATTTTCAGTTATTTACGTTGAATTTCATCTCATACTTTGTTGCCTAGTCATTAGATTAATTTGTGATTCTCACTGTTGTCTCCTATCCCTACTATTCTGCATATTTTGGCATCATCAAAAGCACTCACAAATTCAGTTTTCCAGACGATTTATGTTGAAAAGCACAGAATCCAGAAGAGATTTTTTTGTGAGACTACTGTTTACTTTCCCCAATGTGAGCACTAGCTGTATATTCCAGCATTCAGTTCCCTAAATCTCAACTGTTTGCACAGACAAGAGCTTCCTCTCACACACATTTTGTCATTCAACTGTTTAGATAACTCGAGACACCTTTAAAACACCTTCACCTAACTTCTTTACACATATTTAATTTATTGTAGTATTGTTTACAAACTGTCATATAAATGTAAGTATTAGTAATAAGCTGTATTACCATACTAAGGCTATCAATACAGCATATATATTTCATATAAAGTACTTTTAAAACAATAGTAGAAATATGTAAATAAAATACCTCATGCTGACCAGGACATCCCCATCCCGAAATATAAAAAGAAGGATATTTTCCTGTGTGACATCATGGAAGTTAGCATTTTTTTCATTTGCAAAGAATAAGTCTGGCTTCCAAAGACACTTAAACATAGTTGGGTCCACTGTCAGTGTATCTGAACCTCTCCAGTCATTGGGCAGTTTGAGTCTGGGATCATTCCATTTCTGTCTTAGAAAGATATTGACTCTATAATCCTGATGGGAAGAATAAATAAATATTAGACTAGCCAAAAAAACCACAGAGAAATAAAATCATTCCATCAGACTCTGAAGAGAAAAACAATTTATGTCCTGATTTTTCTATCACAAAGACAGTAATCACTACTCAAAAGACCTTAATAAACGTTATGTTTAACAGACTTACAACAAACAGGTAGATTACATCCCACTCATGTTTTGAATACAGTAACTTTCTTTAAAGAAAGGAACAAATGGACTCCCCCAGAACGATTTCTGCATCCCCTTGATAGCAGCCCCCTGTTAGCTAGGCATAGAGAAAAGCATGCAGCAGGGCAGAGAGAGGCCATAGCTTGACTACACTCGATGGCTGCAGGCAGCAGGCATGATATCACTTCTATCAGGATATCCCAGGAGTGCAAATTCCAGCTTATTTTCCATTTGCTGAAGTGGCACACTGACAGTAAAATATCATGTTATAAAAGCAGGTAGATAATAGATTTTACACTACACACCCAGAATACAGCCTTAGACCTTCTAACAGACTATTCTGGTAACAGGAAAACTGATGCCAGCTTGCAACGTAAGTACTGAGCTAGCCAGTAGGAAAGGAGAAACAGAGTAAGTCTCAAAGAGACAAAATCACAGT